CAGTATTATATCCTTCGTGGGAGAGCTAACCGTTTTGCAAGATATCTTACTTTCGCTTTTGAATGCCTCAATTGCAAACTGACTTGATATAAGTTACATTATAATGTTTAAACTCACAGAGCTATGTACGATCTTATACTTATCATTGGAGATGTTGCTAAACACTACATAGAGTTTTACTTAAGTAGTGTCAGTTAAAATTGGCTCCTGAGATTATAGAAAATGAAGAACTTTCCCTAATTTGTGCGCTCTACTTTTAGTTCTGCTCCTTTCTTTAGCGGCCAATTTAAAGTGAAAATGTAATGTCTAATTCAGTGTCTATTGTCTAATATTGGTCATATTTTATATTGCACAAGGAACTTCAGTAAGCAATCGGAGCTGAATGCGGCTGTAACACTATTTTAGGAAATGTAATTGTAACCTTATCTTTATCATTATCCACACCTCCAACTTGTTAATGACACAATTATCCTCCCTGTTACACAGCCTGTATTATCCTCCCTGTTACACAGCCTGTATTATCCTCCCTGTTACACAGCCTGTATTATCCTCCCTGTTACACAGCCTGTATTATCCTCCCTGTTACACAGCCTGTATTATCCTCCCTGTTACACAGCCTGTATTATCCTCCCTGTTACACAGCCTGTATTATCCTCCCTGTTACACAGCCTGTATTATCCTCCCTGTTACACAGCCTGTATTATCCTCCCTGTTACACAGCCTGTATTATAACGGTAGATCCTATCACTCTGCTACATTTCACCTTTGTTCGGCTGCTCCTCGATCTTATCTATATCTTATCTTTATCTCCTCGCTCTTGTAAAGTTGAATTTGTATAAAGTAAAGATTGCCTTATTTTTCCGTCTGTCTAGGATACAATATTATAATAGCATTTGAGTGGTTTAGTTGAAGTATATCACGTGTGGAGCGGAGCCATGTGTGTGTTGAGACAGCTGAATGTTGAATGTTGAATGTTGAATGTTGAATGTTGAATGTTGAATGTTGAATGTTTATAGTTGATACCATCACATTACCTTACGTTTACTGTGTATTGTGATACTTCTGTCTAGTTATAATAATACATACACACATGTTACATGGTAAGGTCTCCTCCTAGTCGTTGGAGTGGCCTGCATCACACACATCGCGTTGGCGGCGTAACATATGTCTCCACTGTACTCGGTTGATAGCCAAAGCTTCTGTTGTGTCGTTGTCGATCTTTTTAACACCTGTAAACTTAGCAGCATCTTCGAGTACGCAGGACTTCCAGTTCTTACGGGGTCTGCCCCTTGACCTCTTTCCATAATTTGGCTTCCAGTTCAACAGAAACCTCGGTAGTCTAGAGTCTGGCATTCTAACTACATGTCCATACCAACGTAGCCTGGCAGCACTGATGAAAGTCTCAACTGACTTGATGCCAGCCCTCCTAAGAACTTCGTCGTTGGTCACATGAAAGAACCATTTAATCCTAAGGATCCTTCTCAAGGAGGTTTGGTGGAAAACCTCGAAGCGTTTCATCTGCTTTTTGGTGGTGTTCCAGACTTCAGCTCCATACAACAAGATGGTGAGGACAGCAGCCTTATAGATCCTGATCTTGGTTGGAGTCTTTATAGTTCTGCTATTCCAAATGTTCCAGAGCTGATGAAAGGCGCCATTAGTCTTCTGGATACGGACATCCAGGTCTCTGTTGATTGTCCCATCCCCACTGATAGTTGCACCCAGGTAGACAAAGTTGCTAACCTGCTCGACGGGTTCACCCTCAACCGACAGCTCAATACAATCATCCTTGATGAAAGGTCGCTGGGAGGCGCACTTGCTTACAGCCATGCATTGGGTCTTCTTTGCATTTATTCTGAGCCCAGCGTAGGAGCTGTAATGAACTAATAGATCAGTTGATTCCTGTAGGCCTTCCCCTGAGTTGTCCATAATAGCCATGTCATCAGCATAATCGGTCTCCAGAATGACCTTTTCCTCGACCGTCTTCATCTCTTTCTGCAGCACTGCGCCTTGACTGATGATCTTGTTGGTCTCAGCCAGAAATGCAGAAAAGTTTAGGCAGAAATTAAAGACAGGAGGTGCTTGAATGTCACCCTGACCTGTGCCTGAGTTAACATCAAACCATTCTGTCAGCTTATAATAATACAATATTGTAAACGATTAATTACACAATATAACTTTACTCTTTATCTACCCCAATAATAACAATAGTGTGAGGTACACATTTTGCACACAGTAGGTAAAAGGTACGCCCCTACTCTTAGTTCCATGACAACACTTCCCTCAATCTGGTATACCAAGTTGTGCAGTACATTGAATTCAATATTTAATACATTATACATCGTGTACAATATATACTGTTTACAATGTATACAATAAGCTTTCACTAACGTTCAGTTAAAAACTGACTGGTCAGCACTAGTGTTATAAAGCCACAGTCGCCCCAATTCAGTGTGGAAAATAATGTGTAATATTATGAAAATACGAAACAATGTATCTGGAGGTGACCCGCTTGTGAGTCGAGTAGTTTGTACTAGCTGTTATACTCTGCAGCTCTATTACTCCATATATTCTATAAAAGCAGAACCTACAAGGTACCTACTACAACCTGTGCTCTATTACGGTACTCTGTATCTATATACCTACTACAACCTGTGCTCTATTACGGTACTCTGTATCTATATACCTACTACAACCTGTGCTCTATTACGGTACTCTGTATCTAGATAAGGTACCTACTACAACCTGTGCTCTATTACGGTACTCTGTATCTATATAAGGTACCTACTACAACCTGTGCTCTATTACGGTACTCTGTATCTATACAAGGTACCTACTACAACCTGTGCTCTATTACGGTACTCTGTATCTATATAAGGTACCTACTACAACCTGTGCTCTATTACGGTACTCTGTATCTATATAAGGTACCTACTACAACCTGTGCTCTATTACGGTACTCTGTATCTATATAAGGTACCTACTACAACCTGTGATCTATTACGGTACTCTGTATCTATATACCTACTACAACCTGTGCTCTATTACGGTACTCTGTATCTAGATAAGGTACCTATTACAACCTGTGCTCTATTACGGTACTCTGTATCTATACAAGGTACCTACTACAACCTGTGCTCTATTACGGTACTCTGTATCTATATAAGGTACCTACTACAACCTGTGCTCTATTACGGTACTCTGTATCTATATAAGGTACCTACTACAACCTGTGCTCTATTACGGTACTCTGTATCTATATAAGGTACCTACTACAACCTGTGATCTATTACGGTACTCTGTATCTATATACCTACTACAACCTGTGCTCTATTACGGTACTCTGTATCTAGATAAGGTACCTATTACAACCTGTGCTCTATTACGGTACTCTGTATCTATACAAGGTACCTACTACAACCTGTGCTCTATTACGGTACTCTGTATCTATATAAGGTACCTACTACAACCTGTGCTATATTACGGTACTCTGTATCTATATAAGGTACCTACTACAACCTGTGCTCTATTACGGTACTCTGTATCTATATAAGGTACCTACTACAACCTGTGCTCTATTACGGTACTCTGTATCTATATACCTACTACAACCTGTGCTCTATTACGGTACTCTGTATCTAGATAAGGTACCTATTACAACCTGTGCTCTATTACGGTACTCTGTATCTATACAAGGTACCTACTACAACCTGTGCTCTATTACGGTACTCTGTATCTATATAAGGTACCTACTACAACCTGTGCTCTATTACGGTACTCTGTATCTAGATAAGGTACCTACTACAACCTGTGCTCTATTACGGTACTCTGTATCTATATAAGGTACCTACTACAACCTGTGCTCTATTACGGTACTCTGTATCTAGATAACCTGTGCTCTATTACGGTACTCTGTATCTATATAAGAAAATAAACGTCAGTTGACAGTTACCTTAATGGGTGCCACATGCCTAGCATGAAATATTTACCTACTTACTTGCACTTGTGTAGGTCTGTAGAAGCATTAGAATCGGGCGTTGCCTGCCACAGGCTATTCCGAATTTAGAAGCTTGCTTTGATAATGTATCTATGCTAAAAGGTACCCTGTATATATAGCGGTACCCTATTACGGTACTGCTCATGACAGTGTTTATATAGCTGTACCCTATTACGGTACTGCTCATGACAGTGTTTATAATTAGGTGTAGTCCTCCCTAACAATAGCGTCATATCAGTCCGTTTGTAAATATCTACTGTCCCTCTGTGTACCTTGCACTTCGTCTAATACCCTACGCTACAGTACATTACTACAGATATCTTGCGCAATCTGCTCATATATTGCTCGCTGTGGTGCAACCTTGTAATTTAGTGTCTCCTACATCCTGCCTGTTCACTGGGACATTTTACAGCTGTTTTAAATATCTGTCGGTTACTTCAGGGGTAAGATGTTGTGTTCTTGTAGTACTGGATGGTACACATGGTACACAGTGAGATGTTGTGTTCTTGTAGTACTGGTACACATGGTAAACAGTGAGATGTTGTGTTCTTGTAGTACTGGATGGTACACATGGTAAACAGTGAGAGGTGTAAAGTGTTTGATAATATTAATAATTGTAGAATGTAATTTTGGGTGCTTTGTCACTGCTTTTTCTGCTTTATTTCTGTATTTTATCCTTGAATTGCTATATATTTTCTGATTTTTGAATTTGTTTCGTATATTGATTTTAGGAGGAAAATAAATGTATTCTTCCCGTATACATATTTATAACAGGAACTAAAAATGGGGCCGTACTACATTGATGAAGTGTAATATAATGTTGTCTTATGGAATTCGGCCCTGAGATCACGTTAAATATTTAGATTTTCTATTATTATACTGATCGTAATTTACTTAAGTTAATATTTCCTCATGGTTTTTGTTTTTGAAATGTTATCATCAGTAATTTCCCGGATTTTTTCAAAAGTTTTAGACGATAAAACTAACCGCGTTTTTAACCTAGTTTATGGCAGTAGAAGAGAAGTCGGTGAAAAAGAGCGAGAACACGTGGTCCAATCCTTTCAGTGGGCGTTATGTAAGTTGTAAGTCGTGCTCGTACTCAGCTGCACGCTTTCTCTTTCTCTTTCACTTTCACTGTCTGTTTATTTACGCCTTGCAGCATGCTCGATCACATTGGCATGGTAACCGTTAACACACCTACTTTTTCTAGCATGGCTGTGAACTCCACTATATATATCTATAATTTTACTGATTTATTTTTACTAAGCTGCTTTGCACTTAGCACCGTATTTACTGTATTTACTGTATTATTAAGCTATAAACAAAGTTTGAATGAGTAAAGCATGAAGACCTTATAGTCTTCCGTAAGGGCTGCAATCACCTTCAGATTGCAGGTTGCATGTCTATGTTTTTTCTTTTATGTCGAGGGGGAAAAGGTGCAGGAGACCATCTACCCCACGATGGCATCTGATACAATACAATATGAGTAAAGTTTTACTATGATAAGTAGAGGAGTGACGACCCTACTAGTAGTAATTTAAAATAGAAGTACCTGCTCTAAACACCTGATTGGTGGGTAGCTGTGCTGTATACAGTAACCATAGTAACCACCACCAGTACAGTAACCCACTACACTACCACTACACTACCACTACACTACCACTACACTACCACTAGAGGTGTAGAGTAAGTTAAGGAGTTAATAAGAGGTGTAGAGTAAGTTAAGGAGTTAAGAAGAGGTGTAGAGTAAGTTAAGGAGTTAAGAAGAGGTGTAGAGTAAGTTAAGGAGTTAAGAAGAGGTGTAGAGTAAGTTAAGGAGTTAAGAAGAGGTGTAGAGTAAGTTAAGGAGTTAAGAAGAGGTGTAGAGTAAGTTAAGGAGTTAAGAAGAGGTGTAGAGTAAGTTAAGGAGTTAAGAAGAGGTGTAGAGTAAGTTAAGGAGTTAAGAAGAGGTGTAGAGTAAGTTAAGGAGTTAAGAAGAGGTGTAGAGTAAGTTAAGGAGTTAAGAAGAGGTGTAGAGTAAGTTAAGGAGTTAAGAAGAGGTGTAGAGTAAGTTAAGGAGTTAAGAAGAGGTGTAGAGTAAGTTAAGGAGTTAAGAAGAGGTGTAGAGTAAGTTAAGGAGTTAAGAAGAGGTGTAGAGTAAGTTAAGGAGTTAAGAAGAGGTGTAGAGTAAGTTAAGGAGTTAAGAAGAGGTGTAGAGTAAGTTAAGGAGTTAAGAAGAGGTGTAGAGTAAGTTAAGGAGTTAAGAAGAGGTGTAGAGTAAGTTAAGGAGTTAAGAAGAGGTGTAGAGTAAGTTAAGGAGTTAAGAAGAGGTGTAGAGTAAGTTAAGGAGTTAAGAAGAGGTGTAGAGTAAGTTAAGGAGTTAAGAAGAGGTGTAGAGTAAGTTAAGGAGTTAAGAAGAGGTGTAGAGTAAGTTAAGGAGTTAAGAAGAGGTGTAGAGTAAGTTAAGGAGTTAAGAAGAGGTGTAGAGTAAGTTAAGGAGTTAAGAAGAGGTGTAGAGTAAGTTAAGGAGTTAAGAAGAGGTGTAGAGTAAGTTAAGGAGTTAAGAAGAGGTGTAGAGTAAGTTAAGGAGTTAAGAAGAGGTGTAGAGTAAGTTAAGGAGTTAAGAAGAGGTGTAGAGTAAGTTAAGGAGTTAAGAAGAGGTGTAGAGTAAGTTAAGGAGTTAAGAAGAGGTGTAGAGTAAGTTAAGGAGTTAAGAAGAGGTGTAGAGTAAGTTAAGGAGTTAAGAAGAGGTGTAGAGTAAGTTAAGGAGTTAAGAAGAGGTGTAGAGTAAGTTAAGGAGTTAAGAAGAGGTGTAGAGTAAGTTAAGGAGTTAAGAAGAGGTGTAGAGTAAGTTAAGGAGTTAAGAAGAGGTGTAGGAGTAAGTTAAGGAGTTAAGAAGAGGTGTAGAGTAAGTTAAGGAGTTAAGAAGAGGTGTAGAGTAAGTTAAGGAGTTAAGAAGAGGTGTAGAGTAAGTTAAGGAGTTAAGAAGAGGTGTAGAGTAAGTTAAGGAGTTAAGAAGAGGTGTAGAGTAAGTTAAGGAGTTAAGAAGAGGTGTAGAGTAAGTTAAGGAGTTAAGAAGAGGTGTAGAGTAAGTTAAGGAGTTAAGAAGAGGTGTAGAGTAAGTTAAGGAGTTAAGAAGAGGTGTAGAGTAAGTTAAGGAGTTAAGAAGAGGTGTAGAGTAAGTTAAGGAGTTAAGAAGAGGTGTAGAGTAAGTTAAGGAGTTAAGAAGAGGTGTAGAGTAAGTTAAGGAGTTAAGAAGAGGTGTAGAGTAAGTTAAGGAGTTAAGAAGAGGTTTAGAGTAAGTTAAGGAGTTAAGAAGAGGTGTAGAGTAAGTTAAGGAGTTAAGAAGAGGTGTAGAGTAAGTTAAGGAGTTAAGAAGAGGTGTAGAGTAAGTTAAGGAGTTAAGAAGAGGTGTAGGGTAAGTTAAGGAGTTAAGAAGAGGTGTAGAGTAAGTTAAGGAGTTAAGAAGAGGTGTAGAGTAAGTTAAGGAGTTAAGAAGAGGTGTAGAGTAAGTTAAGGAGTTAAGAAGAGGTGTAGGGTAAGTTAAGGAGTTAAGAAGAGGTGTAGAGTAAGTTAAGGAGTTAAGAAGAGGTGTAGAGTAAGTTAAGGAGTTAAGAAGAGGTGTAGAGTAAGTTAAGGAGTTAAGAAGAGGTGTAGAGTAAGTTAAGGAGTTAAGAAGAGGTGTAGAGTAAGTTAAGGAGTTAAGAAGAGGTGTAGAGTAATTTAAGGAGTTAAGAAGAGGTGTAGAGTAAGTTAAGGAGTTAAGAAGAGGTGTAGAGTAAGTTAAGGAGTTAAGAAGAGGTGTAGAGTAAGTTAAGGAGTTAAGAAGAGGTGTAGAGTAATTTAAGGAGTTAAGAAGAGGTGTAGAGTAAGTTAAGGAGTTAAGAAGAGGTGTAGGGTAAGTTAAGGAGTTAAAAAGAGGTGTAGAGTAAGTTAAGGAGTTAAGAAGAGGTGTAGAGTAAATCAAGGAGCAGCAGAGTGTACTGGAACTGTTCAGCTCCTCTGTTATTCTGGTCCTCAACAGAATCACTGAGAGTCTGTAAATTTGGTGTACAGTTCATTTTTCGTCCACATCATACAGTAAGGATGTAATTAGATTGTAAATCAGATCATAACAGAGGTCTTCTTAGATTACGATCATACGTTCTGCGATTAAACCACAGTATTTTAAAATATACCTGCTTTCTAAATACTCTGGTAAATCAATTACATCTACTCTGCTTCTACTCTACTCTGCTTCTACTCTACTTACATCTACTCTGCTTCTACTCTACTTACATCTACTTCTACTCAACAAAACGGTCCTCATATTGTTTCAGACTTTTCAAAGCTGTCCGTATGTAATGGTAACTAGTTCGCTTATTTTCGTTGACAACCGAAGTTTATCCGAATTCAAGTGTTCATCGTCTCTTGCTGAGTGATTCTGAGTGTAGAGTGTAGAGTGTAGAGTGTAGAGTGTAGAGTGTAGAGTGTAGAGTGTAGAGTGTAGAGTGTAGAGTGTAGAGTGTAGAGTGTAGAGTGTAGAGGGTAGAGTGTAGAGTGTAGAGTGTAAAGTGTAGAGTGTAGAGTGTAGAGTGTAGAGTGTAGAGTGTAGAGTGTAGAGTGTAGAGGGTAGAGGGTAGAGTGTAGAGTGTAGAGTGTAGAGTGTAGAGTGTAGAGTGTAGAGTGTAAAGTGTAAAGTGTAAAGTGTAGAGTAGGGCGGTTCATTTTACCATAAGTTATTCAAATAATTAGAGATCATATCTTATTGGTTGCTCTATAGGGTCAGGAACAACCAAAAAAGATTGTTTGACTCTAATGTTTCGGATAATGTTGACTTGGGCCACGCCCATATTTTTCACCAATTTTTAACAGGTAAAATTCTCTAAATCGTCAATTTAGTCATGAAGGAGTATGGAAGGAGTTCTAAATGTGTGCTCCTCTAATATAAACAGTAGAAAATGGCTAACTTTAGTCGAGGTCTCAGGTCTCTACAATGTCGGGAAGTTCCTGCAGGAGTTTGCGCATTGCGCTGAAGCGTAAGATTCACTGCGCCAAAAGAGAAGGTCGTAGAGACATGAGACCCTGACTAACGTTAACCATTTTATACCATTACTTTAAGAGAATGACACTTTCAGAGTCCTGAACAAACTCCTATATCACTTAATCGTCAATTATATGAATTTTACCTGTTAAAATATATAATCATCTTTAACTGATATCAATTTAGTTTAACACTGATAGCTTTAAAAAAGAAAATAATACTTCACACCAAACTAACACACAATATGAGAATATAAAAAGGAAGGTTTTCTTGGAGACGACCTGGACCGAGCATTAAAATAGTGTACATTGCTGCTGTCATTGTCAAGACTCAAGAATAAGAGGGTCTAGTTGTGGGATTATGCTGGATAACAGATATGATAAGTGGTAACATCCTACAAAAGACTGTTAGCTTACTAAGGAATTTTCCTCTTAGCGAATCCTACGAGAACTTAACTAAGTTCCTCCTAGTCCTAAGCATTATCTCGTTTCAGAGGGACTCTACACTGTAGAGTGTAGAGTGTAGAGTGTAGAGTGTAGAGTGTAGAGTGTAGAGTGTAGAGTGCAGACTGTAGACTGTATACTGTAGAGTGTAGAGTGTAGACTGTAGACTGTAGACTGTAGAGTGTAGAGTGTAGACTGTAGACTGTAGACTGTAGACTGTAGACTGTAGAGTGTAGAGTGTAGAGTGTAGAGTGTAGAGTGTAGAGTGCAGACTGTAGACTGTATACTGTAGAGTGTAGAGTGTAGACTGTAGACTGTAGACTGTAGAGTGTAGAGTGTAGAGTGTAGAGTGCAGACTGTAGACTGTAGACTGTAGAGTGTAGAGTGTAGACTGTAGACTGTAGACTGTAGACTGTAGACTGTAGAGTGTTGTTATCAGGAGTGTTATCAATACTCAGGGTACTTATTTTATTCATCCGAATTGAAAGAAACTCTGTTTATCAGATGTGTAGACATTTCCCGTTTGGTTATTTGAGAAAGTAAATTTATTTAACTACTTTGGTATTTACAATGCTTAAAAATTTGGGGGCCATATTAATACATTATTAATACATTATCGTCTAAAAGCACACCCCTTCAACCCTACAAACTTAAACCTAGAAATAATAACCACACTTCTTCAACCCTACAAACTTAAACCTAGAAATAATAACCACACTTCTTCAACCCTACAAACTTAAACCTAGAAATAATAACCACACTTCTTCAACCCTACAAACCTAGAAATAATAACCACACTTCTTCAACCCTACAAACTTAAACCTAGAAATAATAACCACACTTCTTCAACCCTACAAACTTAAACCTAGAAATAATAACCACACTTCTTCAACCCTACAAACCTAGAAATAATAACCACACTTCTTCAACCCTACAAACCTAGAAATAATAACCACACTTCTTCAACCCTACAAACCTAGAAATAATAACCACACTTCTTCAACCCTACAAACCTAGAAATAATAACCACACTTCTTCAACCCTACAAACCTAGAAATAATAACCACACTTCTTCAACCCTACAAACCTAGAAATAATAACCACACTTCTTTTTCTCTGGAGGCAGCCTGAAGTTAATGTTGTCTACACGGTCTGATACTCTCAGTTTAGATAGCAGTCTAAACAGTATAATATCTTAACAATATACTACATGTAATATACTATTCAAGGTTATATTGGTGGACTTCTAAGTGTACTTCAAACTACTTCACCTAACTTATAAGACAACTTGAACTATAGTTTGTCCACTTAAGAACATTTGGGTAGAAGACAAACGACCATGACTAACAATTACTGTATCATCTATACAGTATAATCCGTCCTCACTCCTCAGCCACAGTGTTCGAACCCTGCTTACGTACAGCCACTGTGCTGTGTCATTTGCGTCACTTTTGGTATTTATTGGTAGTGCAAACGTTTGAAGTACTACATACCTACATACCATTACACGCGACCTATGTCGTGTCAAGATTGGCTTAATTTCAGGATGATTGTGTTAGGCTTTCATTTAAAATCATGGGTTTCGTCGTTCTAATAGTAATACACATTTAACTACTTCAGAACCATCGATGAAAATTAGATCTGATCACTGTAACTAAAGTAAGGGGTTATACTTACTATGATATTATATTTATTAGATCTGATCACTGTAACTAAAGTAAGGGGTTATACTTACTATGATATTATATTTATTAGATCTGATCACTGTAACTAAAGTAAGATGGTATACTTACTATAATATTATATTAGATCTGATCACTGTAACTAAAGTAAGGGGTTATACTTACTATAATATTATATTAGATCTGATCACTGTAACTAAAGTAAGGGGGTTATACTTACTATAATATTATATTAGATCTGATCACTGTAACTAAAGTAAGGGGTTATACTTACTATAATATTATATTAGATCTGATCACTGTAACTAAAGTAAGGGGGTTATACTTACTATAATATTATATTAGATCTGATCACTGTAACTAAAGTAAGGGGTTATACTTACTATAATATTATATTAGATCTGATCACTGTAACTAAAGTAAGGGGTTATACTTACTATAGTATTATATTAGATCTGATCACTGTAACTAAAGTAAGGGGTTATACTTACTATAATATTATATTTATGTAGCTCTATCATGCACACATTAGAACGTTAATCTGCATCACAGGCCACAGCATATCAGCATGTATTATTAGTTGTGGTCTGACCAACTCAGAAATTCTGATATTTATGTTTTTGCGCAAGCTTTTTTTTCCGTCTCTAACTGTTCATGCTTTAAGCACCTTATTCGTAATGTCTAATTAATAATATCTCCTTAACAGACTAACTTTAAGCACCTTATTCGTAATGTCTAATTAATAATATCTCCTTAACAGACTAACTGTTCATGCTTTAAGCACCTTATTCGTAATGTCTAATTAATAATATCTCCTTAACAGACTAACTGTTCATGCTTTAAGCACCTTATTCGTAATGTCTAATTAATAATATCTCCTTAACAGACTAACTGTTCATGCTTTAAGCACCTTATTCGTAATGTCTAATTAATAATATCTCCTTAACAGACTAACTGTTCATGCTTTAAGCACCTTATTCGTAATGTCTAATTAATAATATCTCCTTAACAGACTAACTGTTCATGCTTTAAGCACCTTATTCGTAATGTCTAATTAATAATATCTCCTTAACAGACTAACCCCAGGAACCGTTTGTAGACGAAAAAGGTTTCGGAAAGTTTCATCTCTTCAACCTGAACAGCACTAAGCAGATCAGCCTAGAGCAGCCCGGGAACACAACCCCTCTCAGAACAGACTTTGGGAACTCTCTTGTCCAGGGGTCCATGATTCCTGGTACCATGGGTTAGTTGTTATTTTCACCTGAATAATATCGCTGTGTTGGCACATCTACACTATAATAAATCTATTTTTAGGTTCAATTTTATTAGAATTAAATTTATTTACGTGATACTCAAATTCTTTTAATGCTATAAAGTAAAACAAATAAGGTGAAATGAAAGACGGTGTTTAAATCTGCCCACATCGAAAATTTGTATTTATAATAAATTCATATCTAAATAACTGATCGCACTATAGATTACTTTCAGTTTGACTGATATAATTAATTTTAAACAGTAAACATTTCTGGTATTCAGATACACGTGCTTATTCACGCGGAAAATGAACATTGATTAGAAACAACCTGAACAATACAGCAAACACCCGCTCTTTCATCTTTAATAGCACGTCTTATTGATTGTGAGAAATGTCGACAATTGTCAAGTTTAAAAAACTTTGTGAGTTGCTGCCAGCTTTTTTGATTCTATCGACTTGCCTTCTATTTTATCTACGGTTTGAACACCTGCTGTCGTTTTTATTTGAAAAAAGGGCAATAAAATCTGCATGCAATAATTCCCAGAATTTCTTTGTTTACTCAAAACTGTTTGCGTCAATTTTATCGGGGAAATGTTTGTTGGTGTGGTGATCAGAGAATACCTTGTTTCTATTCGCACTCCGTTCTGGTCAGTAGTATTAGTAGTAGTACCAGTAATATTAGTAAATGTAATGAATATTAGCTGTAAAGCCTTTACTGTGTTTAATACTTTAGGTCAGCTTGTACAATGTATAGTGTATAAACCATGTCAGCTTGTACAATGTATAGTGTATAAACCATGTCAGCTTGTGCAATGTATAGTGTATAAACCATGTCAGCTTGTACAATGTATAGTGTATAAACCATTTCAGCTTGTACAATGTATAGTGTATAAACCATGTCAGCTTGTACAATGTATAGTGTATAAACCATGTCAGCTTGTACAATGTATAGTGTATAAACCATTTCAGCTTGTACAATGTATAGTGTATAAACCATGTCAGCTTGTACAATGTATAGTGTATAAACCATGTCAGCTTGTACAATGTATAGTGTATAAACCATGTCAGCTTGTACAATGTATAGTGTATAACCATGTCAGCTTGTACAATGTATAGTGTATAAACCATGTCAGCTTGTACAATGTATAGTGTATAAACCATGTCAGCTTGTACAATGTATAGTGTATAAACCATGTCAGCTTGTACAATGTATAGCAACCATGATTACTAAAGTGCTGGTCAGTGTAACAACATTGTTCATCTAGCTTTTAGCCCACTTTTAGCCCTTATGAACGGGTCTGTACAGTTTGTTTTGTTAGATTCATGGATGTGAGGCCCATTTCCATGTTTCATATTCACATAGAAAGTAGATCTATAGCCACATAGGAGTAGGAGATATTGTGACAAAAAGGGATGTTTAAATAAAGGGTTGTGATTGGCTGAGCAAGTAAATTAGTAAGGAATAACAGCCAATAGGAGGTCTGTATTCCCACGATCGTATTACAATGCGGTCCCTAAAACGCTTCGACACCCCAGTTATACGGACTGTTATTATATGTAACTTAGAATGTAACGAAACATATTATGGGTTTATCGGTCGTCTCACGTCTTCCTTGTTTTGTGTTGAATTGTAGAGAATTTTACATTTTTGTTATCTTAACTGAACCTTGATAAAATAAGTTTTAATTGTAAGTAAAACCTTACACTAATAAGTTATCAGAATTGTCCTACTTCTCCATTATTTGACATGGGTTGTTAATGATATATAGCGGTATTAATTGTATTAAACCACTCTAGAGTTACATTAGACGGGTTCCTGCTAGTCGTAAAGTTGATCATCTTAGCATTTCCCGCCTTGAGAATGTTAAAGTGCTATTTGAAACAAGATGCCAGTAACTAGAAGAAAGAAGCGGCTCATGCAGTGCTCGCATTGCCACGCTGTATTACTAGAGACCAGTAGAACTAAACACAGGAATAGAATAGACCACTGCTCTGTTACTGTCAGCTTTAATACCATCCTCCTCGATACTTGCTGCTCACCTTTCTCACTTCCTGCAGGTTCCTTTCTTTTCGTCTAGTAGTCACTTCAGTACAATCTCATGCAATAATCATACATTATAGTAGTAGTATAGTAGTAGTATAGTAGTCACTTCAGTACAATCTCATGCAATAATCATACATTATAGTAGTAGTATAGTAGTAGTATAGTAGTCACTTCAGTACAATCTCATGCAATAATCATACATTATAGTAGTAGTATAGTAGTAGTATAGTAGTCACTTCAGTACAATCTCATGCAATAATCATACATTGAAACATTATCAATAAATATTATGATTGATCGCTCATACTAAATATAAAAATAAAATTAATCTACACTAAAGAATCAATAATCAAAATTATATTAATCAAAATTATATTAATCAAAATTATATTAATCAAAATTATATTAATCAAAATTATATTAATCAAAATTATATTAATTAATTTTCTCATTTCTCCTCTCCTGTTTATTTTCAATTACAGATCAATAATAATCTTTATAGTTTATATACTCAAGGCGGTAGAAATCCAAACATTTGAAGTGTGTAGATATTTGTGTAGATAAGGTTACATGTGGCAGTGATATATCGAAAAACAAAAAGTAATGACCGCATTAAAGTATGGTTAACCTAGCCAGTAGCCAAGTGTATTGAAAGACCACCTGCCTATTACTGACTGCTAGCTACCACCTGCTAACTACCGACTGCTAACTAACAATTTTACAGGTATAAAGACGACACCAGATCAGGCCGGGACTGGTTCTAACTCTGCCCCCTCTCTTAGCGACACTCCTTCTCTCAAGAAAATAATGGTATTGTTACTTGTCATTAACTGTTTATATTGTGAGGTTCCAGTGACATATTCTGCACGATCCTACACTATTAATTTTAGATTGATTCGAGACCCTAGGGCAAGTGTATCATTGGTGGGAGCACAGTGTTTCACTATTACCTCCCCTCTGTTGCAATGTATGACTTTCTCTTTGTGTCAGAGTGAATTGAAGAGTGGTGTAGGAGTGAAGGAGGTGGAGGACTACAAACAGTTCCTACAAGCAAACGAACAGCCTGCTACTGTCACTACGCTTCAGGTTGGCTAGTTTTATAGTCCACATTCTTACAATTCCTTGTTTCTTATTAAACGAAATAAGGGACCATGATATAAATTTTTTTTAAATAAACAAATAAAAAAAAGGACCATAAATTAAAGAAAATAGCCCCCAAAACTTGAAAGACTTGAAATTATGGGGATTATGATATTATGTACATTAATTTTGTTTAATATAGCAGTTCCTTCCTTCTCTCACGAAACTTGAAAGTAACGTATTATTTACTGTTCAGGACGAAAATGAGACAGTAGATCCTAACGACCCTCTTGCGAGTTTGATAAAGCAGATAAACCATCTAAAACAGCAGAGGCGCGCTATAGAGGTAAGTTATGCTGTATAAATAACCCAACTATAAACAACCAAACCAGTAATTTAAAACGAGTTGAACCGGTGGAAAATGCCCGAAAGACAAAACTTACAAGTTGTGATAAACCTCGTTATAAACTGCTATAAGCGCTGCACAGTGCACGTGTTATAAACTGCTATAAGCGTTGCACAGTGCACGTGTTATAAACTGCTATAAGCGCTGCACGTGTAACGCTGGTAGATTTTGTTTGTGAGTTATTTTTTAGGCTGTTTGCTATTAGTCCTACAACCTTGATGTCCAGAATAAACCAAATGTTTACATGTCTATTATTATTGTTAGATTGAACAACTTTTTGCCACCTTCTATAAAATAAACCATTTTCCTCTGCATACTCAACGATTAAGCGCCTGATAATTTCAATAAACCACGTGACTCTGTCCGATTATTGCTGAGCGCTGCTTCCTTTGTAGGGGGAGATAATAACGTCGCAACACACGACCCCCGCCACCCCCGCTGTAGCTGCACTCGACAACAAGGCTGCTGATCAGCTGGAACTACTAGAGAAACTGTTCTCTGAGAACAAGGTAGCACTTTATCTTACATTGATTATTATTTACTTATATAATGATTATATTATACTAGCAGGTAGAGCCGCACTTTATCTTACATTCATTATATAATGATTATATTATACTAGCAGGTAGAGCCGCACTTTATCTTACATTCATTCATTATTATTTACTTATATAATGATTATATTATACTAGCAGGTAGAGCCGCACTTTATCTTACATTCATTATTATTTACTTATATAATGATTATATTATACTAGCAGGTAGAGCCACACTTTATCTTACATTCATTCATTATTATTTACTTATATAATGATTATATTATACTAGCAGGTAGAGCCGCACTTTATCTTACATTCATTATTATTTACTTATATAATGATTATATTATACCAGCAGGTAGAGCCGCACTTTATCTTACATTTATTGATTATTATTTACTTATATAATCATTATATTATACTAGCAGGTAGAGCCGCACTTTATCTTACATTTATTGATTATTATTTACTTATATAATCATTATATTATACTAGCAGGACCCCGTATAACCCTAAAATGGTGTCAAGACTCAAGAGAGTAGAGACTAAAATAATTATTACCTATTTAATTCGCGTTTTTGACACCACTTGGGGGTCCAAATTTTCAGCTCTAAAATCATTATTCCTTGGCCAATTTTTTATTTTTTCATGCTGATTTGGAGGCCATTAAAGCATTTTACCCAGCCAAAAAAGTTTCAGTTGTATATCTTTTACGGTTTTTGCAGAAAGTCGCTTCAAAGTTGATGCCGTGGTGTCAGTAAAATGGCACAGATATATATCGTCTCGCTTCAAATATAGTAAGATAATGAGCCTAAACGGCAGCTTTACAAAAAGCCGAAGAAAGTTCGACACGGAAAGAGATAAAGTTGACTAACTAACTGACTAACTAACTAACTAACTAACTAACTAACTAACTAACTAACTAACTAACTAACTAACTAACTAACTAACTAACTAACTAACTAACTAAATAACTAACTAACTAACTAACTAACTAACTAACCAACTAACCAACTAATTAACTAACTAACTAACTAACTAACTAACTAACTAACTAACTAACTAACTAACTAACTAACCAACTAACCAACTAATTAACTAACTAACTAACTAACTAACTAACTAACTAACTAACTAACTAACTAACTAATTTCAGCAGCCCAACGAACAGTGTCCCAATGTAAACCCCTTCCCCCTGGCCTCACTGTTACAACCTAACTCTAATGGAGGAGGATCAGTGACCTCCTCTCAGACTATTACTACCAGCTCAGAGGCCAGCTCAGAGGCTCAGAAACAACTCCTTCAGCAACGTCTCATAGATAGGATCAAGGTAGCTAGTCCCTTTTATTTTATAAGTCCGTTGGTGTACTATGGTGTAACATGTACTATGTTATTGTTCAGTTTCTCAATGTTTCTAACTAGGTAACACTCAAATATTCAGATAGTTCTCTTACTAATATTGATGTTGTCTGAGTGCACGATATTAACCATGTTAACGACAGGGGGCTGTGTCAGTATCACATCAACAACCTGCAGCAGTCACTACTCTCACTAACTCCCCCTATATCAGCCCCATTCCAGCTGTCAGACTGGAGCCCTCTCCCAAAACCGGCTTACAGGTACACACTTACTTATACTCGGCACTTACAGCTACATTTCACACTTACTCTATACTTACAGCTACATTTCACACTTACTCTATACTTACAGCTACATTTCACACTTACTCTATACTTACAGCTACATTTCACACTTACTCTATACTTACAGCTACATTTCACACTTACTCTATACTTACAGCTACATTTCACACTTACTCTATACTTACTACACTTACTCTAAAGCTATTCAGTATTACCACATTTCACACTCACTCTAAGCCTACTCAGTATTTTCATTCTTTGAATTTATGTTGAAAGACATACAAATTTAGTGCAATATTGGTGATGATTAAATGCAAACATTTTCATAAAACTCTTAATATAAGTCACCGCTATTTTTGGAATGAAAACTTATTGTAAGTCAAAATTTAAATATTCATGTTTATTATGTTCACCAAATTTAAAATTCCTTCATTAGATTTGATAGAGATACGGGTATATGCCTCACATATACCCGTAACCTTGTTAATGTCACTATTAGACACATGATTGTATATCAAATCAAAATAATTTCACCTAAACGAACAAAACGATCGAAATGGCAATCCGAGAAATTGTTTTCATTGTAGACGTAATAAACCGAATTATAAAGAACAATGCAATAAGATAACATCAACCACTAATTATCCTTCGTGAATCCATAATCCTACCATATCCGATATCCTACCATGCTCTCTAATCTTACACATCCTACCACTTTGGTTTGAACTGATATTTCAAGGAACCTTTTTGTAATGTCAGCGTTATTTTCATGTTTTCCCGTTGTAGATGGTACTTGTTAGACGTTATTTCATGTTAAATGGGTGTATACTGTATAATGTATATGATGTCTATGAAGTATGGTTGGTACTTTATTTGCACATACTCTTTTGGTTTACCAATCCACTGCGTGGGAGTACATGTGTTACGTCATATTATGTTCTCATAAACAAGATTAAATCTCTTTTCCTTTTTCATAGATTTTTCTCGTAAATATTGTTCAGATTTGATAGGTTTTTCTTGTAAGTATTGTTCAGATAGGTTTTATTAAAACTATGAGCTAGACAAGTTTGACGCAGCTTCTTTTGATATTCGAAAACCCGTCTAGTTCATAGATCCGAACAAAGACTATCTAATCAGCAATATTAATCAACATACACTAGAAATATTAATCCGACAGACTGGCTCTATCTCAAGAAACATCATGATCAATTTAGCCGCCACTAGTGGTTATGAAAATTCATCTTAGTCTGTTTGATAGTTACTGAAGGTCATGTGAAGTCACGTGACTTGCGCTCTAACTAACCTGACCTGTATCATATCTGGATTTAAATCTTATCTTAACTTCGTGCGGCAACACCTGGCATTCCCTCACGTTACAAACCAGAAGAGCTGTGTTGTGATTGCTATTTTCTCCTGGGAACTCCTACTACCGAAGTGTAAATATCACGTGCCCAGAAGAGCCGCGCACCTGACCCCCCCCCCTGGTATCCTGGCACCTGATATTGAAACACGACACCTCTACTACTGGTCCTCTGGTCCTGTAATTGTACCCCACTACCCCACTACACTGGACAGCCTGGAGGTGATCATTCTGGAACATTCCCACGTGAAGATCTACTTCACACTCCACTGCCCTCCTCTCCGGAGAGTTTTACAGGGTTGTCCTGAGAGTGGTCTCTGTCACGTGTCCTCTCCAGCCCCCTGCTCCTCCACACAGGCTCCTCCCTCTAATTCTTAGTCACATTCCCTCACATTTTATTCATTCCAGAGCACGTGTAGTTTGTGATGTTTTCACGTGCAGGGTAGGCCCGCTCAATTGCTCATTAGCGTGAGCCGAGTGGCGCGACAATAGTTGCAATAAGCTGTTTGTGCATGCTCCCCACTAGTAGCCACATGTTCCTCAGTTTCACAGTTTTGTAGTTGGTTATTTCTGATATTATCGGGGTGATGTGTGTAGTTTTAAGTCATCAGTTCCGAGTGGGCCGGTCCTTGAGTAGAGGAGTTCATTTTCTCGGCTTGAGACTTTGGAGGGTCAGTGGCTTCATTCACTTTCTCTTTTACTTTCTCTTTTACTTTCTCTTTTACTTTCTATTTCGCTTTACAAATTCTATTCCCACCTGAAAAGTGTTCCTTATCTGATCAGCCATGAGTAAACTTAGTGCTAGTCAGTTGCGCGGTTTATTTTGTAAAACATCCTTTAGTATAAGTATTGGAGATTGAAGTTTGAGTATTGAAGTTTGAGCTATACATCTCAAAACTACCTATAGACTATAGAGGTTGTTAGAAAAACCACTATCGAAGTCAGCTTAACAGTCTCTCCTAAAACTGGATAAAATATAAGATTTTAAATTAATGTTATCAGAAATATGTCTTAAAATGCCATCTTAGTTAAACGTGAAAATCATCCTTTTAGAAGTGAACAATACCATTGATGATATCACACCAGTAACCAATGACCTCTAATATTACCTCTAATATTACCTCTAATATTACCTCTAATATTACCTCTAATATTACCTCTAATATTACCTCTAATATTATTTTTAATATTACCTCTAATATTACCTCTAATATTATCTCTAATATTACCTCTAATATTACCTCTAATATTACCTCTAATATTACCTCTAATATTACCTCTAATATTACCTCTAATATTACCTCTAATATTACCTCTAATATTACCTCTAATATTACCTCTAATATTACCTCTAATATTACCTCTGATATTACCTCTAAACACTCTTCTTAACTTATCTTAATGATCCTCTAACAATCCTCTATTCAGCTCCTAAACACTTAGTAGACACCCTCTAAAAACGCTCTAAAACCCTCTAACTTCCCTCAGATGAAGGATGTGACGTCTCTAGATAGCGACAATATCAGACTCCTCAGACTTCTCATACCCAACTTCTCACAGTCGGGCGGCGCTCCACCTCCTAACTACACTGCTGTCCCTGTTAATCAGGTTTCCAACAAGGTAATTAGCAGATTAGTGATTAATTATTTATTTAATGAAACGTTCCTCAATTAAATTATAATACTAAATAACATAACTGCAAAATGATGCGTGAATTTTATCTTGGCGCGGTGAAAACTTACATTTTAAAAACTAGTACCTTATTAAACTGATAGTGATGTTTGTTTCTCTTTTTTCACGGTTTACAAACATTTTATTTCGCAGTTTGCTCCACAGTATGTTTCTCAGTTTATTTTACAATTTGTTTCACGGTTCTAATTGAACCTTCTACTGCATTCAGGTAACCGCGGGGGCCGCATCTACCGTTCAGAGCAACACTGCATACACGAACGCACCCAACGGAATGGGACAGATTCATGCGGTTCAACCACAACCGCAGACTAAACCTAAACAAGGTGAGTTTACTGATTACGGACTGAGACAGTCTTATGCGGTTCAGCCACAACTGCAGAATACACCTAAACAAGATGAGTTTACTGATTACGGACTGAGACAGTCTTATGTGGTTCAGCCACAACCGCAGGGTACACCTTAACAAGGTGACTTTACTGATTACGGACTGGGTACACCTTAACAGTGCGAGCTAATGCTACTTAAGACAGTTCTCTGAACTACGTACTGCTCTGTCTGGTGTTACCTACCCCTCATGTACCACACTGGTTACTCTGAACTACGTACTGCTCTGTCTGGTGTAACCTACCCCTTATGTACCACACTGTTTAGTTCTCTTACTTAACCCCGTATTTAAAGGTCCCCCTAAATAAAAGCAAGCTAAATCTGTAAATCTGTAACCGGTTATTATATATGGGATAATAAATACAGACACCTCGCTAAACAATGACAATGGAAAATTAGCTCGCCTCATAATGCCTACTCCAAATAGGAGACTGTTTCGAACCAAGCGGTATAAAGTAACGAGAGTTGTGAGATGCCTGTAACACGGTCCCCCTTGCTTCCCACGTGCCCGGGCATGCTCGCTTAAACTGATAAAAGTGTGCCCCAATATGTTCCCAGATCTGTTTGCAGTACTGATTTAGCTTCGTGAGCCACGTGAGCCCGCACATGGGCCATTATTTGCATAAAAACTTAAGAAACTTAAAAGATCCAACAATTAATCAGTTGGTATCTTATGTTGTTAGGGTAATGATCTGCAGATAAAACAAGCTATGATTGGAAGAGATCATTGGCAAAGTACATAATTTATCAGTAATTAGTTGATTGGTGTTTTGCATTAAAAACATACATTGCAGTAGACAATTAGCTTAACTGTACTCATGTTGGGCGTGGCTATTTTTTGCTAATTGGTTGCTAATTGGTTGCTAATTGGTCTCTGCTTGAGTTTCTCCTATCTCAAGTTATCTAAGCTTGTGGGTCCTTGTTATCTATGATCTATCTTCATTTTCTATCATACAATATAGCAATGGAACATTACTCAGGTCAATTCAAGGTATCGAAATAGATAATAATCAGTTGCTAATTAATCTCTTAAAGTATTAACAATGGGTGTTTTGATTCCACACTAATTAATTATGATACTGTCCCAACTCTAGTCGGAGATAAGTCTGGTTCAGTACAATAATACTCAAACGTTTTACCTAATCTTTTCATAGTTGGTGACGAAGTGAGAGTCTCCACTCAGTGTTTCAAAACAATTAGTTGTCGACGTTTCGGCAACACGCCTTTGTCATAGACAGGACGTTACAATAACTTACATAGTTCAATAAATGTAAAGATTGGGGGGGGGGGCCAACCATATTAAAGTATATTAAAGTATATCCCCGGGTCAAAATCGGAAAAAATCCTACATTTTAATATACTTTAATATACCTACAATTAGAAGATTTATATTCTTCGTTAAGATTTACATGATGAACTATATTTTTCACTCAGATTCGCAAGATAAGCCTGTTTTAGGACTAGCACATGAATTTCCATCCAGATTGGTCAAAAATTGGCTGAGCTATGAGCTTAAAAAAATATGCCCATATTTGGGCATACGCTTTTGCCCAAATTCGTTTTTGCCCAAATTCGATAAAATTTCAATATTTTTTAATGAGACTAACTCTATGTGAAAGATATAACTCAGTGTTTGTTGAATATAGTGGATACTATGTAAAAAGACCTCCATGAACAAAATTGGGAAAATTGCACATAATATCTCGGTTCAGAATACTACCCAAAATGACTTCATTAAAATTGAAATAACTCCATCAGTTTTCAATATTTTTTCAAGAACTTTTTGGAATCGATTAAGAATTGCATTTCAAGCTTATTTTGGGCAACAATTTTTGATGTAGGCCTCCAAGGAGATAGGGATATATTAAAGTATATTAAAGTATATTAAAGTATATTAAAGTATATCCCCGGGTCAAAATCGGGAAAAATCCTACATTTTAATATACTTTAATATGGTTGGCCCCCCCCCCCCAAAGATTTGTAGTGTTGTAATTAGTTTAAAACCATCAAAATATATGATCGACCCACTCATAAGAGCGAATAAAGATTACCATTATGTTTTACTTAATTCTTGGTAAACTGAATATCTCTTGAGACACTGCCAAACTTAATGATTGTATAACATCTTGAAGATTGTTAGTAAGTTGATGGTATTAAGGGGGGGGGGGGGGGGGGGGGGGGGGGGGGGGGGTTCACCCTGATTTTTTTGTGAAACTTGGTTTCGAGATAGCAGTTGACCAACAAACTAGAACCGGTGACCGAAATTTTGAGGGGGTCCCCGACCCCAACCGCCAAACGGTGAGCTTATACTACACATTCTCTGTGATTATCAGCTCAGTATCTACCTAACTGTGGATTCTGTGTTCAAATAATCACAAAAAATGAACAAAATCGTCCATATCTCAGTACGCGATATTTGCAAAACTGATTTCGCTCAAATCAGTTTTGCAAATATTGCGAACTGAGATATGTACGATTTTGTTCATTTTTTGTAATTATTTGAACACAGAATCCACAGTTAGGTAGATACTGAGCTGACAATCATAGAGAATGTGTAGTATAAACTTACCTTTCATATAAAGTTGGTTTCATTCAAAAATATTGATATTTGACCAATTTATGGGCCAAAATCGATCAAATTTGGTGCGTATGCCCAAATATGGTCATATGGTTTTTGGCTCATAACTCAGTCATTTTTGGCCCAATCTTGATGAAAATGCATATACTTGTTCAGGGGACCACTAGCTACAAGTAGAGCACATTAAATCTGGATTTTGGGCATGTTCAGGGTATTTGGCTAAATTGGGCCTAATTTGAACCAAATATGGGCGTGGCTGCCCCGCGGGCACCGTTTGGCGGTTGGGGTCGGGGACCCCCTCAAAAGTTCGGTCACCGGTTCTAGTTTGTTGGTCAACTGCTATCTCGAAACCAAGTTTCACAAAAAAATCAGGGTGAACCCCCCCCCCCCCTTAATGATAAACTCAATCTATCATTCTCGTCTGTGTGACTGCTGTGTGACTGCTGTGTGACTGCTGTGTGACTGCTGTGTGACTGCTGTGTGACTGCTGTGTGACTGCTGTTTGACTGCTGTGTGACTGCTGTGTGACTGCTGTGTGACTGCTGTGTGACTGCTGTGTGACTGCTCCCCCTCTTTATAACGAGTTTATTTAGTATCCGAGATGGGCATCTTTGTAGGAGGAATTATTCGTTTCCATGGAAATACCCTCAATTGCACTTAGCACTATAGTATAAAGCTGTTACAGTATTAAACGGTTGTACCAATTTCACGCCTTTAATTGTTAACAATATCCATTGTGTTAGTAGTAGTAGTAATATCCATTGTGTTCAGGACCTCATCATTAATTGTAAACCCATTCACAATAATGAGGTAATGATCAATGTGAAGGAGCGAGAAGTTGTGCAATAATTAATTCACTATAAGTTAATCTATTGTCTTGCAGGGGGAGCGGTTGTGATGGATAACGAGAAGTGCTTGGAAATGTTCCAGAACATAAAAAAACAAATCAGCGATCAGAGCGTGTTTAACCTGACCGGTAAGTTTGCTAATATCACATAGATACAGTTCTTCAGTAGGCTTAGTTTAACTTCTTCTGGGTGGTCTCAAGTGAACGTTTATTTCTATTGATTACTGTTAGTTACTGTTAATTACTGTTAGTTACTGTTAATTACTGTTAATTACTGTTAATTACTGTTAGTTACTGTTAATTACTGTTAATTACTGTTAGTTACTGTCAGTTACTGTTAGTTACTGTTAGTTACTGTTAATTACTGTTAGTTACTGTTAATTACTGTTAATTACTGTTAATTACTGTTAGTTACTGTTAGTTACTGTTAGTTACTGTTACTTACTGTTAATTACTGTTAATTACTGTTAGTTACTGTTAATTACTGTTAGTTACTGTTAGTTACTGTTAGTTACTGTTAGTTACTGTTAGTTACTGTTAGTTACTGTTAATTACTGTTAGTTACTGTTAGTTACTGTTAATTACTGTTAATTACTGTTAGTTACTGTTAGTTACTGTTAGTTACTGTTAATTACTGTTAGTTACTGTTAGTTACTGTTAATTACTGTTAGTTACTGTTAATTACTGTTAATTACTGTTAATTACTGTTAGTTACTGTTAGTTACTTCTAGTTACTGTTAATTACTGTTAATTACTGTTAGTTACTGTTGGTTACTGTTAATTACTGTTAGTTACTGTTACTTACTGTTAGTTACTGTTAGTTACTGTTAGTTACTGTTAATTACTGTTAATTACTGTTAGTTACTGTTAATTACTGTTAGTTACTGTTAATTACTGTTAGTTACTGTTAATTACTGTTAATTACTGTTAATTACTGTTAATTACTGTTAATTACTGTTAGTTACTGTTAATTACTGTTAATTACTGTTAGTTACTGTTAGTTACTGTTAGTTACTGTTATAGTTAGTTACTGTTAGTTACTGTCAATTACTGTTAATTACTGTTAATTACTGTTAATTACTGTTAGTTACTGTTAGTTACTGTTAGTTACTGTTAATTACTGTTAGTTACTGTTAATTACTGTTAGTTACTGTTAGTTACTGTTAATTACTGTTAATTACTGTTAGTTACTGTTAGTTACTGTTAATTACTGTTAGTTACTGTTAGTTACTGTTAGTTACTGTTAATTACTGTTAGTTACTGTTAATTACTGTTAATTACTGTTAGTTACTGTTAGTTACTGTTAGTTACTGTTAATTACTGTTAATTACTGTTAGTTACTGTTGGTTACTGTTAGTTACTGTTGGTTACTGTTAATTACTGTTAATTACTGTTAATTACTGTTAGTTACTGTTAATTACTGTTAATTACTGTTAATTACTGTTAGTTACTGTTAGTTACTGTTAGTTACTGTTAATTACTGTTAGTTACTGTTAGTTACTGTTAATTACTGTTAATTACTGTTAATTACTGTTAGTTACTGTTAGTTACTGTTAATTACTGTTAATTACTGTTAATTACTGTTAATTACTGTTAATTACTGTTAGTTACTGTTAATTACTGTTAGTTACTGTTAATTACTGTTAGTTACTGTTAATTACTGTTAGTTACTGTTAATTACTGTTAGTTACTGTTAGTTACTGTTAATTACTGTTAGTTACTGTTAATTACTGTTAATTACTGTTAGTTACTGTTAGTTACTGTTAGTTACTGTTAATTACTGTTAGTTACTGTTGGTTACTGTTAATTACTGTTAATTACTGTTAATTACTGTTAGTTACTGTTAATTACTGTTAGTTGCTGTTAATTACTGTTAATTACTGTTAATTACTGTTAGTTACTGTTAATTACTGTTAATTACTGTTAGTTACTGTTAGTTACTGTTAATTACTGTTAATTACTGTTAGTTACTGTTAATTACTGTTAATTACTGTTAGTTACTGTTAGTTACTGTTAATTACTGTTAATTACTGTTAATTACTGTTAGTTACTGTTGGTTACTGTTAGTTACTGTTAGTTACTGTTATAGTTAGTTACTGTTAATTACTGTTAATTACTGTTAGTTACTGTTAATTACTGTTAATTACTGTTAGTTACTGTTAATTACTGTTAGTTACTGTTAATTACTGTTAATTACTGTTAATTACTGTTAGTTACTGTTAATTACTGTTAATTACTGTTAATTACTGTTAGTTACTGTTAATTACTGTTAATTACTGTTAATTACTGTTAGTTACTGTTAGTTACTGTCAATTACTGTTAAATACTGTTAATTACTGTTAGTTACTGTTAATTACTGTTAATTACTGTTAGTTACTGTTAGTTACTGTTAGTTACTGTTAATTACTGTTAATTACTGTTAACCGAGTTACAATATCCAGCCACGATACACCAGACTTCAAATGAGAGTGAGGGACTAATACTGGTGGTCACACGGAACAAGATAGATATTCACCCTCAGTTCGGACCTATTCACGTCGGTCAGTAACATTAGTACACAACATAGTAGTAGCAGTAACATTAGTACACAACATAGTAGTAGTAGTAACATTAGTACACAACATAGTAGTAGTAGTAACATTAGTACACAACATAGTAGTAGTAGTAACATTAGTACACAACATAGTAGTAGTAGTAACATTAGTACACAACATAGTAGTAGTAGTAACATTAGTACACAACATAGTAGTAGTAGTAACATTAGTACACAACATAGTAGTAGTAGTAACATTAGTACACAACATAGTAGTAGTAGTAACATTAGTACACAACATAGTAGTAGTAGTAACATTAGTACACAACATAGTAGTAGTAGTAACATTAGTACACAACATAGTAGTAGCAGTAACATTAGTACACAACATAGTAGTAGTAGTAACATTAGTACACAACATAGTAGTAGCAGTAACATTAGTACACAACATAGTAGTAGTAGTAACATTAGTACACAACATAGTAGTAGTAGTAACATTAGTACACAACATAGTAGTAGTAGTAACATTTCTACCATATCCTACCAATCATCTTGTAAATTTAGAGACTTTTTATAATTATCTTCCAACAAAATAAACGCGGTGTCCTAGCCCCTGGGAGATGTAGTAAAATAAAGTAACTTATTTAACAGCACGTGTGGTTATTACAAACAAACTTTACTACAAGTTCTTTGTGCTGGACAAAGTGGTAAACAGTGGTCAGGTGGACGCTAAACAGATATCGGAAGTATTCTGGAAGTTGAGTGAAGTGTCCCAACATCTGCTCTGTCCAGGTTGGCGGATACTTTTGTTGTTATTCGAGATGAGACGTGTTAAACGAAAGAGTATTTTGTTTTTCTGGGAGATGATATCAACACATGATAAATATTATTAATATCAAGGACTCTTATATTTGTAATTATATATTTCATCTTCAGGATTCAACCAACGGTACATTTCGAAAGTGGAACAAACTTTAGGCGAAAAAGTGGACGATATAACCTCCTCTTACTGCCGACTCACTGCTAAACTGTGAGGATAATATTCATATTAGCTTATTACTAATAAGCTTATTACTAATTAGCTTATTACTAATTAGCTTATTACTAATTAGCTTATTACTAATTAGCTTATTACTAATTAGCTTATTACTAATTAGAGTATTACTAATTAGCGTATAACTAATTAGCGTATTACTAATTAGAGTATTACTAATTAGCTTATTACTAATTAGCTTATTACTAATCAGCTTATTACTAATTAGCTTATTACTAATTAGCTTATTACTAATTAGCTTATTTCTAATTAGCTTATTACTAATTAGCTTATTTCTAATTAGCTTATTACTAATTAGCTTATTACTAATTAGCTTATTACTAATTAGCTTATTTCTAATTAGCGTATTACTAATTAGCTTATTACTAATTAGCTTATTACTAATTAGCTTATTACTAATTAGCTTATAACTTATTAGCTTATTACTAATTAGCTTATTACTAATTAGCTTATTATTAATCAGCTTATTACTATTTAGCTTATTACTAATTAGCATAATACTAATTAGCTTATTACTATTTAGCGTATTACTAATTAGCTTATTAATAATTAGCGTATCAATAATTAGCGTATTGCTAATTAGCTTATTACTAATTAGCATAATACTAATTAGCTTATTGCTAATTAGCTTATTACTAATTAGCTTAAAATCAAGTCTCATTATCGCATGCAAAAATCACAAATATAATCTGCCCAAACTGTGCTATTGCAATTTATTCCTCGTTAAAATGTTTACTCGCTATTGAAATGTATCCGGGACGGATAAAAGAAAGCTAAAATATATCCTTGTGTTTGAGGTTACTGACACCACTCCCCCAGATGTACAGTGTGGCACCAGAAGGACAGTAAGCCAGGACAGCGCAGGAACTACCACACAAGGGACCTGTGTTGCGAGTGTCTTGATCTTTACCACAGGTATTTAATGCGAATTATTATTACCTTGTTTTACAATTTATATTATGTATTAAACGGCAAGGAAACGTTAGTTCCATTTCTGTTCATAATAAACTTCGGTTTTAACAAGATTTTATATTATTTACAGCTTTCTTTTGATTCTCCCTCCAATATACATGTAACTCTACAAAGCATAGACTTTGGTTAATTTTAGATGCTTAACCGCATTGCTTGACATGACTTGACAACAACACTCCCCAGGCTACAATTCAAGACTTACTCTCACACCAAGTTAAAACAACAACAGCAGACAACCTGGCCCGGGCCACCAGTCAGTGGTGGAACACCTCACAAAAGGGAACAGGAACATGTGATACCTAGCAACCAGGCCGCTAAGAAAGTAAGTAGATATCAGAGTAACCAGGCCGCTAAGAAAGTGAGTAGATATTAGAGCAACCAGGCCGCTAAGAAAGTAAATAGATATTAGAGCAACCAGGCCGCTAATAAAGTAAATAGATATTAGAGCAACCAGGCCGCTAATAAAGTAAATAGATATTAGAGCAACCAGGCCGCTAATAAAGTGAGTAGATATTAGAGTAACCAGGCCGCTAAGAAAGTGAGTAGATATTAGAGCAACCAGGCCGCTAAGAAAGTAAATAGATATTAGAGCAACCAGGCCGTTAATAAAGTGAGTAGATATTAGAACAACCAGGCCGCTAATAAAGTAAATAGATATTAGAGCAACCAGGCCGCTAATAAAGTGAGTAGATATTAGAACAACCAGGCCGCTAATAAAGTGAGTAGATATTAGAACAACCAGGCCGCTAATAAAGTGAGTAGATATTAGAGCAACCAGGCCGCTAATAAAGTGAGTAGATATTAGAACAACCAGGCCGCTAATAAAGTAAATAGATATTAGAGCAACCAGGCCGTTAATAAAGTGAGTAGATATTAGAACAACCAGGCCGCTAATAAAGTAAATAGATATTAGAGCAACCAGGCCGCTAATAAAGTGAGTAGATATTAGAACAACCAGGCCGCTAATAAAGTGAGTAGATATTAGAACAACCAGGCCGCTAATAAAGTGAGTAGATATTAGAGCAACCAGGCCGCTAATAAAGTGAGTAGATATTAGAGCAACCAGGCCGCTAATAAAGTGAGTAGATATTAGAGCAACCAGGCCGCTAATAAAGTGAGTAGATAATATATTGGGTGTTCTGCCTGCCCTCTTTAATTATGATTGATAATTACAATTGTACTTAATTAAATACCTAATACCCAATTCTTCAGCCGAAGTTACAGAACGGTCAGCTACAGTACGCGCCCAACTCTGCCCTCTCCCCTAGCAACGCTGTTAGCAACACAATTAACAGCAGTGTTAGCAACACTTCACACGTGACCACTACGAGTACTGGCGGTATTACCGAGCAGCAGCTCAAAGCTGTACTCTCAAACCTTGTCAACAGCCGGGTTGTTCAGGTGAGCGTCGTTATTTGGAGAGAGGTACCTGCAATAATTTCCTATGGACTGGTTATTGAATCTTGAAATTTCGGTATTTATAAGTAAAGTCAGGGCTGGTTGAATAATGTTGATTTGGTTGAATGTTACTAAAGAGGTTTTCCTTATCAGATGAACAAGGAGAGTGAGGGAGATGATCTAGTAGACGTGCTAGGCGAGGATAGTGGACCAGACAGCATTACCCCTCCCTCTCTCAGCTCAACTGGGCTTGTTAACCAGCTCTCCAACTTTACCGTCAACCCTGGTGCTTCAGTTAACAACATCTTCAACACCACCACTATGTCAGCCCTCTTCAACTCAGCAGCCGCTCAACCCACTCTTCCCACCGCCCTTGCAAACCTCCGAGTTACCTCAACCACATCCCTTGCACCTCACGGTCTTATCAGCTCTTCTCCAGCTATCATACCAGCACCTCCCTCCGCAAACATTCTCAACTCAGCAAACTATTTGAACTCCTCCGCAAACGTTTTAAACTCCTCTTCAGCGATGTTATTGGGAGACAACAGAGCATTGTCTCCTAACGTGGAGGCTCTCAGTAGCATGGTATCTACAGTTACTCCTGTAGCAACTATTCCACCAAATATCAGGGCTATCTCTACCACCACCACCCAGCCCTCATTTGTGAGTCTTTCTTTACCTGTATCTCTTACTTGATTATCTTTTATATGATTGTCTCTTATAATTATATCCTATCTTTATTTCACATGTATTCCTAGTCATGCTCATTCACTCTCATTGCTCAATGTCTTTCTTGTCCACTTAATTTAAACGAGTGATTCATGTATATTTCAGATGATGGCGAACGGCAACGTCCTTCAACAGAGTCCATCCACTCAGCCCTCCAGCTCGGGTAAGATTTATGGTTTTAAATTATAAATCTAAGAACTATTAGATGTATCATCATCATACGATATTAAGTACTGGATATCCAGAATAAAATGTTGACCCCGCAGCGCCTACAACTGTGCCTCCTCATTCGACCAACTCCAAAATTGACGACATCCTGGCTTCCCTGAACGAGCTACAGAAAAACGTTCCCGAGTTGGTGGGTTCCGACTCTAATTCCGTGGACGAGGGTATAAGAAACCTCCTGAAACAGTTCCAGAGCAGCGATCAACCCTCATCTACAGACGTGGGCCAAGTGATGGGAAGCGAGAGCGATCAGACCACGAGTACTGCGGGGCAGGAGGGGACCCAGGATCCTGCCTTGGGGGACACTGCAGATGATTCCAGGTCACAAGGCGAAGATTTGCTCGTTATCCAGGAGGACTGAAGAGGGGACTGTTAATGTGTAATGAATATTTCGTTTGGTCGTCAGAAATTAAGAGATGTTTATTAATTATTATTTAGTCGATTGATTTTAAGATAATATCATGAAACAGTCGTCGATCGTGTGAAGAATTTAAAGAAAGTGAGCTATGAGCGCAATATTTCCCTATTCAGTCCATATTTTCATGAGCGTAATTTATGATCTAATTATCGAGTTATTCAGTAAGTGACTGACTTAATTACGAGAAGAGAATATTAAGATGTTTTCAGATAGGGAGCAACCCTTTAAATATTTTATTTTATTCGCTTGCAAAGCAGGTTTTAATATTTGATTATCATATTGAGCGACACTGTGGTGTGTTGTGTTGTTACTTTCTCCGCATTGCAAACGTTAGTAATAGCGGTAAAACAAACTGGCAAGGCCTCTATCAAGGAGTGGCATCGATTTAAACAAACTGCGGTAGTTTTTGGCCATTTTGAGCAACGATTACAAATTATGTAACTCAATCGGAACGTTTTTAGATCATTTATTCAATAGGTTAAGCGTTTATTTTGTCAGGCTTGACTCATTGCAGTCCTTTGTCAGCACTCAGCGACTTGTTTTCAGTCTTATACTCTAGTAGCAGAGAGTAGTTAAGCAGTCTTACCCGGCGCGCCATTCCCTCCTTGCGCATTCGTTTCACTTTCTCAGATATCAGAGCTGAGGAGCTAACCACATACCAGCTAACCGGGTAAATTTTTAACGGGTGATACTCGTAAAATATCTGTTCCAACTCGGCGCGCGTCCTGGTAGGTTCTTCTTTTGATTGGTCGGCGTCGACTGTAAGCCTTCCTTGCGGTGGCTTTCACAACGCGTCCCCATTCTCCAACTCCTGCTGCTAGAGAGAGAGACTCCCAAGTTATAATATAACTTCAAGACTCTCGGAGTCTGTTGTCGATATCTATGTATAATATAATTATGGTATATAACTTATATACCATAATTATATTATACATAGATATCGACAACAGACTCCGAGAGTCTTGAAGTTCTGTTACCACCGCCCCTGGTGCAACCCCTTACGGGTTAACGATGAGGAGACAGGGACTTCCAGGGACGGTCATGGCCTGCTACATGCAACTCGTAGGAGTATGCAATGTTCCTGTAACGTCACTGTAGACCACTCCTCTGTCGTTGTTTTGAGTGTCCGATCCAAAAAACCAAATCCTAGGGTACACGAGACATGGAAGCCTGTGAGCGTGTTAGAGTCTGTTAAGTGTTAGAGCTTTTAACCAACTCAACAACATTTGGAAGAATAAGAACATAAGCATTAACAACAAAGTGCGAATCTACATCGCAGCTGTTCTTACCATTCTGACCTATGGATGTGAGATATGGAACACGACTCAAGTGCAGACAAGAAGATTGGAGTCTTTCCATCAGTACTGCTTAAGAAGAATCCTGAGAGTGAGGTGGTTCCATCGAGTAAGTAATGAGGATGTTTTAAGAAGGGCATCAATAACTGCCCTTGCTGACATAATAACAACAAAACGGCTGCGTTGGTTTGGACATGTCAGTAGAATGCCTGAAGATCGGTTGCCCAACTATTTACTTGAATGGAAACCCAAGCATGGGAAGAGATCAAGAGGCAGGCCTAGGAAGAGCTTAAATGATGTATTCATTGAGGATGCTGAGCAGAGATTGGATCGTAATGGACTCACGATTGATTGTATGAGAAGATTAGCTGCAGACCGAAAGGGATGGAGAAATGTTACCCGCCGAAGTTGTATAATACAAAGTAATGACGCAGTCGACGCAGACTAATCCTTTTGGATGGAGATCTCGCCATGTAACATGTATGTAAGTGTTAGAGTCCTAGGGCTACACAAGACGTCGTAGCCTCTGAGCGTGTTAAATCCTAGGGTTACACGAGACATGGTAGCCAGTGAGCGTGTAGACCGCTCCTCTATCGTTGTTTTGAGTGTCCGATCCAAAACCAAATCCTAGGGTACACGAGGCGTGGTAGCCTGTGAGCGTGTTAGAGTCTGTTAAGTGTTAGAGTCCTAGGGTTACACGAGACGTGGTAGCCGGTGAGCGTGTTAAATCCTAGGGTTACACGAGACATGGTAGCCTGTGAGCGTGTAGACCGCTCCTCTATCGTTGTTTTGTGTGTCCGATCCAAAACCAAATCCTAGGGTACACGAGGCGTGGTAGCCTTTGGACGTGTAAAATCCTGGGGTTACACGAGACATGGTAGCCTGTGAGCGTGTAGACCGCTCCTCTATCGTTGTTTTGTGTGTCCGATCCAAAACCAAATCCTAGGGTTACACGAGGCGTGGTAGCCTGTGAGCGTGTTAAATCCTAAGGTTACACGAGACGTGGTAGTCTGTCAGCGTGTAGACCGCTCCTCTATCGTTGTTTTGAGTGTCCGATCCAAAAACAAAATCCTAGGGTACACGAGGCGTGGTAGCCTGTGATCGTGTAAAATCCTGGGGTTACACGAGACATGGTAGCCTGTGAGCGTGTACAGTGTAGACCGCTCCTCTATCGTTGTTTTGAGTGTCCGATCCAAAACCAAATCCTAGGGTACACGAGACGTGGAAGCCTGTGAGCGTGTTAGAGTCTGTTAAGTGTTAGAGTCCTAGGGTTACACGAGACGTGGTAGCCTGTGAGCGTGTTAAATCCTAAGGTTACACGAGACTTGGTAGCCTGTGAGCGTGTTAAATCCTGGGGTTACACGAGACGTGGTAGTCTGTGAGCGCGTAGACCGCTCCTCTATCGTTGTTTTGAGTGTCCGATCCAAAACCAAATCCTGGGGTTACACGAGACATGGTAGCCTGTGAGCGTGTAGACCGCTCCTCTATTGTTGTTTTCAGCGTCCGATCCAAAACCAAATCCTGGGGTTACACGTCATGTGGGGGCCTGTGAGCGTGTTAGTTTCCTGCGGAAGGTGTTATTTGCCTGTGGGAAAAGCGGTGGGAAAAGCGGTTATGCTGCGGTTCTAAGGTTAGTAGAGGCTATTAGAGCCTTTCCTTGTTGTAGAGATGGCTAGTCCCTTCCTTTGCATAGGTTAGAAACACCCATGCACCTCCCGTTCGAGCCACCCACCCCACACCGCGTGGAGGTTCGGTGAGGTTTTTCGTGGGGCTATCCTGGTAGGTTATAAACCTACAAGTAAATTTGATCCCCTATATCATGCATGAGACAGCAAAACAAGTGTACTACTACAATGGTAATTGGCGCATTGCAGTAGCTTCTTTTAAAATTCGTTAATGAAATTTAATCTTTTTCAGCGTTTCCTGAACTGCAGCTATGCGTTGAACTGTCCATTGTTAATGAACTGATATGAGTGTCGATCGAGTTTATAAATAAAACTTCAAAAACATATTTACCTGTACTGGGGACCTCAGGCTATAATGTTCATAATATATAAACATAGAGCTTCGGCGGAATGACAGGCTGAGCGCCGCCCAGTAAAAACATATTTGTGTATGTATGCAATAACGGATGATGATTAATCACTCCACACTCGACTGTCACGTGACTTTTTAAACACTTTCTCTAGGTGGCTCTAAATGACTATTTGAAACCCTAATCTGATCGGATGACGATTAATCACTCTACACTCGACTGTCACGTGACTTTTTCAACCCGTTCTCTAGCTGGCCCTGAACGACTATTCGAAACCTTATTACTGGGCGGCGCTTTCACATAGCCACGTGTCTACGCGTACTGCGTGACGCGCTTGTTTCAAAAGTAGCGGCGGTCGCGCGCTACTGCAAGCGAGAGGGCTCTGGTTCATGGTTAGAGCAAACTCTACACTCGACTGTCACGTGACTTTTTTAACCCGTTCTCTAGCTGGTTCTCAACGACTTTTCGAAACCCTAACCCCCTAATCTGATTCCAACCCTAACCCTAACCCAATCCTTAACAGAAATATATGCTGAAGCCCTAACCCTAACGAGAAATTAGACTAACTTCCTTATACGGTCATATCACGTGATCGAGACAGTTTTTCGCCAATATCTCGTCAAGTCGTCAGGGGAGCATTTTAACCCTATGTCATGGGGGACGGGGGTGATTCGGAATCGATCATCGTCCAAAAATACATCGAATGAAGTTGGTTACAACCGTGGGGGCCCTTTTAGTTTTAGAACAATCTCGAAGATCGACTGTAGAGTGATTCAGCACGCTCGAAAAATTTCCTACAAAAGCCATGTTTATTCATAACTTATGAAATAACATATACCCTAAATTCTAAAATGCTTACTTTTTGAGCTATCACTATCAGCGGAAAACTGGAAGGGGAAATGGCTCATTCTGTTTTTTAAATTTCATATCGTCAGCCCATTATTGATTACCTTCTGCTTCTAATTATAACTGATCTGTGATCTTGAATTACTATTCCCTCGACTACTGTAATAACCTTCAGCTCCCAAACCACTCACGCTTATCGTTGTTTCAATCTTTATCACCGCTTCCTTTGTCCAAACTCCCAAACCCATTATCGGGTGCGGCTCAAACTTTCCCGTACACCTGTTCTCCGTTCTCCACTGCAACTTTATTGTCATACCTAACTGCACTACCACTTATTGTTATTGATATTCTTATCGGACCTTATTTGAACGGACATAAATTGAACGCTATAGGTCCTAGCGTTCATTTTTATGTCCGTTCAAATAAAGTCCGTTCGTTCAAGGTATGTCGTCCAAGTTAAAGTCCGTTGAGATTTTTTCCAAAATTATTCCACTGCGAACTCATGTTATTGTTTAGGATATGATAACTTTTTAATTTCAGTCAATTGTAATTTTTATCATCAGATTCGGACTAAACTTTAATTGACGATGTCAATTCATCTCAGCTCGGCGCGGCACAGTAGCGCATCTCGCCGATCTAGAGAAGCCTCATTGAGTGCGCGGCGCGACACAGTAACGCATCGCGCTACAAGACTAAACTATATCATTGGATCAATGAAAAACGAGTTATTATACAATTTAAATATTCTAAGTATCACATTATGGCATGATCACTTTCTTGATCTTTGGCTTCCTCGTTCTATTCTGCATTCACTTCTTTTTTTTATTTTTTATTTACCTCCACATCTTGTAAAAGAAGTTTACATGCACTGAAATGCAGCTGACCGAGGTGGTCAAATAAAAATTGTTTTAAAAAAGCAGGTATTACTGATATGATGCTTTTAGCATGGAATATTTAATGTTTTAATGCACGATAACCCATTTGAGGAAGATGACATGTGATATGATTATGATCATCAAATCTGGTCATATTTCGTATCTGTTGTTTTTACACAACTTTCATAATCATAGACACCGATCTACAGATATTTTGAAATTCTTTACTGCTTAACCGTAACGACTGCCTTTCTTGCTCATTGTATGATAAATTAATTTACAAATTATCTGCTAAAACTTTAAAAATGCCAAAAAAAAGATGAACAAATTTGGATTTTTGATGGTTTTGAATGCCTTCGAGCGTTCATTTTAATAATGACAATGTCCGTTCATAATTATGTCCGTTCATTTAATGTCCGGTCAAA